CTGAAAAAGTAAGTGTCCCTATTTTTGTCCTCAATCATTTTCAAAGAGGCTGCAGGAATAAAACTGTATACATCTTCAAAGACTCCTATAATTCTCTAACGAACTTTCAGAGCCGCTGCAATTAGTCAAGCATCAGCACTGTGACATCAAAGGCACAACCACCAGATGTTTGCACAGCTTTCTGCCTAAAGCTGTTCAAAAGCTGAGCTGCTGTTGGGATCATGGAGGTTACATTGTGTTTAAAAAAAAAAAAATATATATATATATATATATATATATATATATATATATATATATATATATATGTAATGTACTTAATTTTTCGTTTGTTTCTTTTTTAAACACCAATGCCTTCCTCAGAAATTCTCCCATTTTGTTGTGTGATCCGTTTGGACCTGAACTCCACGGTTTTTCCTAAAACAGCAACAAATCAAAGTGAAAAAACAACAACTAATTAGGTTGAACAGTATGTCAGAAACCATGAGCTGGATTCCTAGTTGGGGAAAAAATTTTCAAAGAGAAACTCGTCTGAGAATCTAATCCTCAAAAATCTATCCTTGCAATTCAGGTTTTGACAACTCTGGGCGTGATGTAGTCCATCTGCTTTGATTGACTGTATTCTCACAGTGGAGAAATGTAGTCTTTACATCAGCTCAAAGAAGAAGAATGTGCCAAAGGAAGAAAAAGGTGCATGGGATATATACAGTATATATATATCATATGCGTCCACATATGATAGCTTTTTTTTTTTTTTGTATAGTAGGATCCTTATACAGGGTTATTGCACAGGGTGTTTACATGGGTATTTATATTTGTATGATATCAATTAGCCCTGGGAAGCTATGGACTTTCACCAGCAATATAAAAGAGACAAAAGTGCTTGGAAATCAGCAGCTCATTAAGTGTGATCTACTGACCTGTCGGGACTTTAAAGCCAAAATTGCTCACATTTCACACCAGCTTTACATCCGTTATTTGGCTCACCTCTCTCTCTTAACAAACATTGTAATGGTAAAACACAGAGTATAAACTACTGCCTAAATGTATTTCACATAAACATAAATGCTTCGGCTGAGATTAATAGCAGTTAAAGGTTCTATCCAATTATGTATTTTGCTTCCAGTATAAAACCTAGAGGGTGAAAACACAGCTGGGTAGTAAACTATAGATTTTCATTTAGATGGCCACTGTTTAAAGATGCAATATCTATAATAAAGAGGAGGGAAATCTAAAGAAAAATACAGATCAGTATAAAAAAAACCTCTAAGGGGGTTTCACACTTTGCTTTATATCAACAGAGGCAAGTATAATCTAAAAGAAAAAAAATCTAAATTGATTAAATAGGAAGGTCTGTACAGGGGCTTAGGTTTAATTTAAAGTTTTGTAGGGACACATTTGGTCTGACGTCGGTCTAAAGAGAAAAGCAGCACTTCTTGCTACATTTATACAAATTTTATAAGCACTACGCACGATAGATGCTGTTTATCAATGGCTGAAGCTTAAATGGCTCTGATGAATGAGGAATTAGGACTTTTTTCCACTTTGAAAAGGTTTGCACTTGAAATGACCACCGACTAAGACATTAGGTAAATCTGGATTTATACTTTTTTTATTTTTAAGATATAGAATTGCGCAGGGATAAATAGAGGTAAATCCCACTCTTTTAAATGTTCTCTTTGTATTAAGAAACAAAGCCAAATATTAGATTCAAGGGACGCCAAATAAATGTATTGTATTTACATGTGCACTGGAAGTAGAAGAGGAACTGACACTGAGCACTTAATATATTAACCTCACTCTACAAGCTGTACGTCTAGGATGTAGTTACTCTATTTAACCCATTTCATGGATTTCATTTAGGGCTGAAACAATTTATCGGATTAATCAATTATTGAAATAATGTCAACAAATTTAGTAATCGATTGATCTTTAACTGGAGTATAAAGACATGTCTTTAGCTCACAGAGCGACCCACTTATAAAAGGAATTATACCAAAATTGTAAAAAAAAAAAAAAAAAAAAAAATTTTTTTTGCATTTTAGTTAAAAAATTTATTCGTCCGTCAATATTTTCCATCCAGAACTCCTCTACTGCTGCAAAAATGCTGTATTGTAAATTATAAACATTTTATTCACATGTAATTGTTGGTGGGGACAAGTAGGTCGGTCCAAAATTTTGGCAGGGACATGTCCCTATGCAAACCTACGTCCATGGGTCTGTAGGTGGATTTTCTAAAGTGGCAGATAGTTTTAATTGAACTTACTTACCTTTTAAACACAATTTAGAAGCTCCAAATACATTTATTTCAATGTTGGTGATTAAAACCACACTTTATATTCATAAATCTATTGGCGACAGCGAATGGTGTAGAAATGAAAACAAGGAGAAGCCACCATGAGCTGTCAGCAGCTGTCCCCTTAAGATCACACTGTTGTTAGCATTGCAGAGCATTTCAAACAAAGCTTAAGGATGTCATCAGCAGCGGGCGCCGCACGCTAAAGTGTTAAACTCCAGACACTGGACACGTCCTTACAATGTGCCACGTCTCAATGCATCATTAACAAGTCGTCCAGTGTCACTTGAGGCTCCGCCGGTCAAGGAAAGAATCAGCTTGTGAAAATGAGCTAAGCGGGCTGAGGTCAGGAGGTGAGGCCACAGGTGTGGCTTCTATATATAAAGAGAGGCGCTGAAAGGCCTTCTTGCACCCGGGGCCTCCCACTCTGTGGCTAAACATCCAGCAGCTGCCAAACTGTGTCGTCTCACAGCATGATGTGAACGAGGAGCTCAGATTTAGACAAGTTATTGGTAACTAAAGAGACAAGGGGTTGTTGAAGCTTTTCTTCAGTAGCTCTCGGATCTGAGCAGGAGCTGCAGCCTCTGGGGCTGAAATGGCAAGCTATTGTCACATGAATGCTGAACTCCTAAAAATAGAGCAGCCTCTGGAGCACAAAGGGCTTGGACAAATGGCCTTTTCATTGGCTGTCTTCAAGAGTCTCGAGGCACAAGTGAAAAAAGAAAAGGGGCTCCTGATGTTTGGTCTGCTTGAGAAAAATACAGGAAACCTTAATAAATCAGGAAATTATCATTTAAAGGTACATTCAAAAGTTTGACAGTTAAGTTAAATTCAGATTTTTTTTTTCTAGCTTATTAAAACATTATGGTCTGTTTCTTAGACATGTAGAATTTTATATCTAAATACTATATTTTAATACACACATTTTAGCTGACTGTCTGAAAAACGTATGTGATGTAGAGTATTTAAATTCAATACGCAGTTGGTTCTTTTTGCGTTAATTATTGCGTGGCATCATTTAGGGCTGAGCGATGAATTGAATATTCTGTTTATGAAGATTTTATTTGTGGAAAAAAAACAAACAATGTACTTCTTTAGCAGGGTGACATCAGTTTAGCAGTTTTTGTTCCTAGATGTTTACCTATAGCTGATAAACTGTGTGATACCACTGGCTGTAAATAGTCTTTTGTTTACTCTATTTTAACAGTCCTTTAAACTAAGGTCAGCTTCTAGAGTGTATGAATAAAATAAAAACCAGCTTCTAAAATAAATTTACAGAATGTCATTTTAATAGGAATCTCAAAGGAAGATGAGGGAAAAAAATGCAGCTCACCTGCATTGTTGCGTTTTATCTCTCCATTGACACATAACAGTAGAATTCAGTTTGTTTACCAATCAAAGTGCTGGAAAATAAAAGCAGCATCTGTATAAGGAGAGACTTCTTTTATAGTGCAGGGGATGCTCCTTAAGACCTTCTATGACTGTTGTGGCTTAATTAACATCTCTGATGGATAATGTCTCCCACCCCATGCATGAAGCTGTTGCAGAACTAGAGAGCTCCTTTAGTGACAAGCTGCTGCACCTTAAATGCACCAGGGAGCGTTATCACAGATCCTTCCTCCCAGCATCTGGAAGACTCTGTAACCATCACTGTTCCCAACAACCTCAATATGTTGTTACATTGATGCTAATTATGCAGTTTCTACCCTAGTTAAATAACATGCTGCTGTCATTTTGCACATCTCTGATGTTGCGGCTATTTTCAAATATCTATTACTGTAAAAATGTCCACAGCTGTATATTTATTTATTCTCCAGGTGCAGTTTTATATTGTTAAAACACTTTACATTACAGTATTGTTTCTTTCAACTCTTTGCCATTATGTTATTCTTATACATGTTTTAAGTTCCACATTTGTGTGACCATTTTTTTCTATAATCTTTTTGCAGCTGTAAACACCAGAATTTCCCATTGTGGGACAATAAAGGGATTTTCTATTCTATTCTATAAAACCTGTCAGCAGTTCTGGACCTCAATGAACTTTGATTCTATGAGGCTGGGGCCACTGTACGCCCAATACTAGTTATAACTGCCATTTTCACACTTCTCTACCATATCTCTTTTCTTTCCACTAAATTTTCCAACAAGATTATTTACAGCACTTTGAAAACCATTTGTCATCTGCACAATCATTTTTGCCAACTAAGCTAGTAACCGCCTATTCAAGTCATCTGCATCATTACGTTACACATTATTTTAAAAACTATTTAGCATTTAAATCTGGGGTTTTCATCAAGGCTGTGTTAAAACCCATTTTCAGTTTCCCTTTTAAATAAACAACTGAAACAAATTAATTTCCTATATCTTAACTAATGGATTTGGTTACTACAGTAAGAGTTACATTTTTTTAGAATTTGTTAACATTTTTCAGCTGATTTGGAATTCATAATTAGGTAAACATTAATGTTACGGTACATGTTGAGACTTAAGTTTAAACAAAGACTAAAAATAATTAAATATCAGCATATTGTAAATATGCCATTTCAAGCACAAAAATAATTTACTTAGAAATTCTCAAATTATTTTTTTTTTTATGTAATAACCAAGTTAACCATAAATTCTGATGTTTTTTGGACAAATGTGCCAGTAAATAGGAATAGAAAGATAGTTTTCTATAATTTATAGCTAACAAAAACAACAGTACAAATTAGAGGTGAAAGACAATGGTTATAATATTTAATACTCCGTGACAAAATCTCTACAGGAAACGCTAATTAAACATTTTTTTTTAGCAGACACCAATATAATTTCCAGCATAAGAGCATCATGATTAGGATTATGTAAAAGCACAAAGATGATAAAATAGAAAAATAAAATCACAATAGGTGGGCAAACCTTTTGTACAGAGTCCTACAAAGACCAGCTGAACGTGTGTGCAATCTGTTGCATTACTTTATTTTTCTAAACACTGGTAAAATCAGCTCCATATTCTTTAATACATTCAGGAAGGGTTTTTTCTTTTTAGATAAAAAATCCAGAAAGTCTTCAAACTCAGTGCCTTACTGCTGAGAGAAATACTGGGCGGGTCAAATGAGGTATCTCATATGTTTACATTCAAGAACCATGACTGATAAACTGAAAATTAGGAGATCCAGAAATAAAATTGTCTTTCTAAGCTACATGGATGGAAATTTGGGCGAACTGTCTAAATGAAGTGGATGTTCCTCTGTATGACAAGAGTTAAGTTTCGAAACCAGAAAGAAAGAAAAGGAAGAAAGATTTAGTCATTGTCACGTAACTTCACTGAGCAGAAAGTTCACACAGGGTAATTAATATTGACGTGCTTTGTTGTTAGATTGTGGAACTCGATGAGGCAGAAGCAAGAGACAAGACTCTGTTTTGTTTCAGGTATACATATCCATGCCATTTACGAATCAGGAGAGAAAAAACAAAAAAATATTTCCATTTTCAGCCTATATACAACAGTAAGGAACACTGTACAAAAAGAAATGCTCAGGTACTAATGATTCAAACCCCAACATGATTCCTTTTACCCTTCATATATGTTTCAGTACTGAGGTTTTTCCCTTTGGACGGATGGAAGTGCATTCACAGGCTGGATCCAGATACAATCACCCACTTGATAGAGCCGCGTTGGGACGTGTTAAAAGAAAACTCATCGGACGTTTAATAGGACACTTTTATCACTTTGTTCTTTAACAAAAATAGACACAGCTTTTCCAGCCTTGAAAGTCCTTCTCAGAATATATATATAAAATTATGTCTCATTTATTTACAGTCAGATTGTGTTCTGAAGGAATAGAAAGGTACTGCTCCATCGCTGCTGGGGGCTGTGGGTAGTGTTTTTTAGTGTCAACCTGTGAGGAGGGGGGCTGAGGCCATTCCAGGGTGCAATTCTGTTCGTCCAGGTACTTGACTTTTCTTTTCTGTCAGCGTGTGGACAGACGGCCAAGCCGAAGATGATTGTAATAAAATGCTGATTGTGTTTGGAGGAGACCTGGTCTGTTGCTATGGTGTTTAAGGAGGAGCGGAGCCAGGTTTACTATTGTTGATTTACACAAACCTGAACCTTTTATTTCTGGAGGCTGCAAATTATTTCAAGGTTAAAAGTTTCTATGTCTGTGCTTATGTTGTAGTAAGAAGGGTGCGAAGGTGTCTGAAGGTAGCAAAACCCTCCAAGTCTTAATGCGGAAAAACTCACATCTTGGGTTTTCTTTGCAAAATAGCAACAATGTGTTAAAACATAATAAAAACCAGGTTTATCTGATTTTATGATATTCTTTAGTGACAATAGAGCCTAATCTTAGGAATGTTTTTTATTTTGTCTAGTGCTACGTTTACTACCTGCTACAGCGGCTTTTCTGTGTAGGTATTGAAGCTTAGGCAGTGTTTCAACACAAGGCTGTAACATTCTCCCTGGTTCTTTGAAAAGGATGAATTTCTTCTTGTATGATGGGTATTGTGGCACGGCAGCTCCTTAAACAGATGATTGGTCCCACACCTACAGCATAGAGTAAAAAGAAGTACAGTTTAGTATTTAAAATGGAAGAATATTTAAAGAATCTTACAGAAATATTCACACCCCGTGTGGGGAATTTATGAGAGTAGACTGGGCTAATATTAGGAAACACATTATTAGAAAAACCAGTGCTGAATATCAAGATAACAAGGTTATAATGTTTACAACTGGCCTTTTCTTTCCAAGTGTCCCCAATACTGAGCTTTAGCATCTCAGGAATAAAATCCTCAACAGATAAAGTGTGGACATTAGCAGCTAAAGTCTAAATATATTCAACAGAAGGCAGCTGAAATACAATTTCCCACATATATAGCATCCAATTGATCCCTTGTAATGGAGATAATCACAGGATCATATTGCGATGACTACAGAGATTTGGTATACAATGCTTCTCTATGATTGACAAACAACAATTTGGATGATCTTATCTCTAATTCGTCTGAATTAAAACACACTGAGAAGTTAGCAGGTTCTTCACCTGAGTGTGAGGGTTGAGGATTTAGAGGGTTTAGTTTTATCAGTAAAGCACATAAAAAATGAAAGCTTATGAAGATTTATGCTACAGACAGACAGATGTTGACAAACCTTGTTGACAGGGTTTATGGGTGTGCGGCCGGAGCCAGTGTGAAGTCTCTGACGCTCCTCGAACCTTCCGGGGGACCTCTCCCTTCGGACGTCCATCATCCGGCCAGGGGAGCGGTCCATGCGGGGGTCTGCCATGGCCCTGCCCGGGGAACGGTCTAACCTGGGGTCAGCCATGGCCCTGCCAGGGGATCCCACGATCCGGCTCTCGAGCATCCTGCCGGGGGACTTCTCCCTCTCCAGCGGCCGGCTGGGAGACTTGTCCCTTCGGAACTCTGTGCGAGCCTCTCTGTAGCGGTGGGGTGTGCCCGGGTCGCCGTGTACCAGGGGATTGGCGGCGAGTCTTTTAGAGATGTGCTCGTTGTAGGAAGGCGGCCCACGCTTGTTAGGACTGTGGGGAGGAACCCAGGCGTAAAGACAGGCATGGTGTACCTCTTAACCAAAGATATTTCAAATGACAGGTCATGGACTGCTCCTGGCAGTGCAGGAGTCAGGTTATTCACAGGATGCGATGAGGGAATGGATTCATACTGGAGCTAATTCAGCCTGTCTACAGGTACCATTGTTATCTGTGGTCAGAGGAGACCGATCCAATCAGCTCCACTAAGTCTGCTTAACAGAATAAAAGTTGGAAATTAAGATGAAGTTTAGCAGCAGTCAGAACACTTTAGAAATAACTAAACAGGTTATTCTGTGGTTTCTTTATTATTCACTGAAAGCATTTTTAACAAATCAATTTAAAAAAGAAAAACAAAGATTAAGATTTATAGCAGATAAACAATCCGCCCCCTTTCCTGCAAAACAAAACAAACAGTTAATTTCTCACTTTTGCAATCTTAAATAATTCTACCCCTCACCACAAGTGGGCCCCCAACTGTGTTGGTTAAACCCAGTGACCCATCAGATCAACAGAGAGGAAACAGAAGAGTGACTGGAAATCTCTTAATACTGATGTAGTAACTGAAACCTAAAGAAAAGAGTGATCAGCTCTTTCTGTTAACCTGCCTGCTCCAAGAAGCGCCTGTCTTGAACATGCTGTGCCTACCTAGTGAAGAAACACATCCTCTGATCAGTGAGTGGTGATGTGGGGCACAGCGCGATCATTACTGCATAAAGTCGAGACTAAGTGGCCCTGTTAGCCCTTTTCTTAGCTAATGTCCAAGTTGTTAGAATGCATGTTTTTCCAGCCATCCTAGGGAGGAGCCTAATCACCAGAAGTCGTGTTACACAGCAACGTCATGAAATGTGCAGGTCACACAGGGAGCACCAGCTTTGCATTAAAGCAGTGTACATTTCATGGTATATAAATACTTATAGTTGAATTTGAAAGGCTTAAAAAGAATCATGTAAAAACTTAAAAGCCCAGTTTTTTTCAGTTCAGTTTAGTTTCAGTTAAGATAACAAAAAGTTATTCCTCTATCTATGCTAAATGTCACAATAACTAAAACATCTCCAAATACAGAAGCTTTCATAAATATTCTCTGTATTTAGTAGAGTAACCTTTGACCTCTTGTTTTGTATACACTCTGTGCATACAAAATGACAGTAAAAGGTCACTAAGACCTGTGTGATATTAAAAAAGCTGTCCTGCTCCTCCTACAGTAATGTTTACTGACAGTTTCCCCCTTTTGACCTGACAGAACTTCTGCAAATCAATCAGACTGGTCGGTTTCACACAACTATTATAGCTCTGTCTGCATTTTTGCTTTATGAATAAAACTTTTTGACAGCAGCTCTTTAAAAAAAAATCCTTTTTAAAAATGTTTTTAAATTGTGGTTAGGTTGCTGCTGCCCCAACTAATTTACGAGTTGGGTTTTTCTTCTTTTCCAAGTTTGATAGTAGTTATCATGGATGAACGCATCAGTTCTAGTTTGATCAGAAAACAGGACATGAATCCAGATAGAGATTTAACCAAAAAAGAAACCAGACTAATATCTCCCCTTATTGATCTTAATTTTTCCTGTGATGTCACAAGGAAGCAGAGTGTTGTAAACTACATCCTCTAGTCCAGGCAACCCCAACCTCGGTCCTCGAGGCCCACTGTCCTGCAGGTTTTAAAGGTTTCTTTGCTCCAGCACAGCAGATTTTAATTGAAGGCTGATTAACAGGCTTTTGGTCAACTGCAATCATTATAATCAGCTGTGCTAAAGCAGGGAAACCTCTAAAGCCTGCAGGACAGGGGGCCTCGAGGACCGAGGTTGGGGATGCCTGCTGGAGTCTGTTACTTTAACAAAGGTAGAAAGGAATATTAGTGTTAATACACATCTCCATTAAAAGCAATGTGCATTTAGGAAGATATTTTTTTTTTATATAATTCTAAGCATGAAATATTTAGTCTGATGCTAAAAAAAAGGTTATTTTTATACAGCGCATGTACAGTAAACATCTGGGTAAGGTCTAATGAACCTCAAAAGGGAATTAATTCTGACTTATTTTGCGGGGGCTGTTATCCTTGAACAAATGTAAGTTTTAAATCACTTCCTTTGTTTTCTTATCCTTCATCTTAAAACCAAGGGCAGGAATCTAATTTCTCTCATTAGTTTCCACAATAGATCAAACAGAATAAAACGATGCGTCTCTGGAGTGAAACCTAACTGAAAGGTGAAAGTGAAGGCGAGTGTGAGTTGGAGAGGATCACAGCTGTGTGCTCTCACCTGCGGCCGGAGCCGTTGCGCTGCAGGTCTCCTCCGCCTTCTTGACTCTGGACCAGGTTCCCTTTGCAGCAAATGACCCGCAGCTTGTTCTGGTAAGATGAGGCCAAGTAGATGGCCCCGGAGGAGATGGCTGGGCCAAGGTAACGTGGGTTTGGGATGTCCAAATGTGCATAAGAGTGTGATCTAAAGAAAAGTAAAACATGTTACATCTGATAAGTTCTCACATTTTAGTAGCAGGAAGCCACAGCCTGAGTTCTAGTCTTTATTAAGTTATATTACTGAATGTGCAACAGTGCCGCCATCAATAATAAGACAGAGCTGACTGTATATCTTGAAGAAGATTAGGTTCTTCAGTATTTGGAGGCAAGATGCTGCATATCTTCAAAAGGTCTGTAGTGGAGAGAACGGCATTTTCTACTGCCATCTGTTGGGGTGGAGTCAGAGACTCTGCTGTCTTAGTGACTGCTGTAGAGTAGCAACCTGCACCAATATTGTCAGTACCTAGAGACTGCGAGGGGAGGGTGTCAAAGCGAGTGCAGCTATTTTAGCTTAGCATAGCCCAATAAAAAGCTCCCTTCAGCTGAAATGAATGTTTCAGATTGGTAGGCAAGCGTAGCGCAAAGCAACCGCAATCCTCATGACCAGCGTACAAGGGAAGGAAACATTCACAAAACCTCTGCTGTGTGAATCGACCCATATGAGGCAGAAAACGGAAAACTGTCACAAAAAAAGTGCCTTCTATATCAAACTATGACATATAATTACCTCAGTGAAGAGGGGCTACACACAATAGAAGAGGTTCATGGTCCAAAAGTGTTTAACGCCTTTGTAACAGCCTTGTGAACCTTTCATATCGAGGTTCAGAAAAAAAATTTAACTGCAACAGCTACTGTTTAACCACTTAGTTATGAGGAGGTTTCAACACAAATATTGTAAAACTAAAATATCTCATATGATAATGTACAAAAAATGCAATGTAACATTAAGATTAGAGATGCACCGATATAAATAACCGACTGTGAGGTCAAAATTTGAAAGAATCGTCATTGTCTATGAGCAAGAATGCTGCATATTATTTATCAGTCTGAAGTGGAGAGTTTGATCTCTGCTGCCATCCTCTGCCAAGGTAACAGTATCAGAGAAAAGACTTAAAGAAGCTAAAAAAGCCAATAAAGAATGCTGGCTCTGTTCTAGGAACTCCTCCAAAACCTCTGGAGATTATTTCACAAAGAAAAAATCTTCATTAAGTGGAAAAAAATCTTCATAAAGTGGAAAATATTATGGTCAACAGTGAGCATCCTTCCTGCCTAGAGCTATCAACACTTACAAATGACTGGTTAGAAAAACAACAACAACTATGAATTATTTCAACAATTAATTTCCCTTTGGGATTAATAAAATATTTTTAATTGGAATAACCCTGTAATGCTTCTCCAGGTGCTCCCTAAGGAACGACTTGAATGCGGAGTCTGAATACCGTAATTTACAGTTATAGTGAAAAATAAGGTGAGTATTAATTAAGTTTTAGGGCAAATTTATAAGGAGCCTCTGCAGACCTATAAAGCTAAAATCAATGCATGCCGCTTTTCAGAATTGTATTTGTATAAGGAAAATAAATGAATTAAAAAACATATTTCTTCCACTGTACAGCTTTGCATTGCCTTGTGTTGATGTAACAACAAAAATCCTAATAATATACATTAATCTTTGTTCCTGAAACAGGACAAACTCTGCTAAAGATAAATTATAAAATGTGTGTTTAAGGAAAACCGAGGCAAGAAGTTTCTAACAAAGACAAAATGAAAAAAAAAGAGAGACATATCTTACCCTAGAGCAGCATGTCCCTGAATTTCGATAACATCCAAAGAATTAAAGTAGGTCACAAACAGGTAGGGCTCTCTATAGGCTGAAAAACCAACAAAGCATCCATCATCACTACTGCTTTTGGTCCTTTGTAAACAAACAATTAGTCAAAAGGAAACACTGGTACACAAGAAACTGGGTGACAATTACCAAATGAAAGAGGCAGACGGCTCCACTTGATATCATCTGTTCTACTCCTGCGGCCGTATGAATCTACAAACACACCAAACTCTGCAAGACAAAATTCCAGCATTCAGGACTGCAGACTTCCATCTGAATTTAGCTCATCCCTGTTTGGTAAACCTGTTCATCATTGTAAACAATGCAATTTCATTGGTCTAACCATGGAAACAGAGCAGGTATTCATCCTTCTGAGGGGCTGTGGTGACTTGGATGATGGAGATGGGGAAGCTGTGGGAGGACGCGGCGAAGACAGCTGAAGCTAGAGTTACGTCGTTTTTATCCAAGAACTCTGCAAAAACAGACCCCCCCATCATTTAAATGAATAAACTCGTTCAGGTGTGACAAAGCTGCTGTAAAACCATCTGGTTAGTTTAAATGACGACACCAACCTTCCAGCACATACTGCTTCATCTCGATCTCATAGAACTTGTTTGTGCCGATTATGATGCTGTATCCGGTAAAGTGGATACAGCTGCATGGCTCTGATGTCTCAATCTCCTGCAAATACAAACACAAAATGGATTAGAATGTCACACACTTGTTCGAGTAGAGCAGATCTTCCACAGTTTGTTCACCTTTCTGATGCAGAACTTGTTGAGGCTTTCGTTATGTCGCAGGATTGTAATCTTGTTAGGCATAGCAGCACAGATGCAGAGTCCATTATCGATCTGTAACGACAGAACAACTCTAATCAGGACAGAAGTAAGGATCTGTAATCAGTCAGTGCAGCGCTGTGTTGTGACTGAACATCAGCTCATTAAGCTCCATCTGGATGACAGCCCACAAGAACTCAGCTCTGTTTGAGCAGAAAATCGACTCACCTTTCCAGATGAGAAGAGGTGACATCCCTTCACTGTTTCAAAGATGAACGGATTGAGGTCAGGCTGAGCTGGGAGATGGGACTGAGACAAAGACTGTTTCACCTTCTTGATCTCCACCAAGCACAGCGCCCTCTCCTCCCCTGAATGACAACAACCGGAACACGCATTAGAACATAGGCAAGCATTTATCTGCAACTCACTGTGCAGGAACTTTAATCTGATGCTTTTAAGATCCTTAAATACCTTTAAAACTAAAACGTAAGACAAAAAAACAATTAAAAAGTTTAACAAATTTCATTTAGGGGTGCAGCAGGATATACCGGCATTAACATAGATAGAGCCAAGGTCATTTATTGTTTAAATATCGGTAACGGCCTAGTTTATCAAACAGTGCGACAGAGTGGCGACCTGTCCAGGGTTTACCCAGCCTCTCGCCCATAGACTGCCAGAGATAGGCACCGGCCCCACCCTGACCCTGAAAAGGACTAAGCGGTAGAAAATGGATGGATGTAAATATTAACAGATGTTTATTCCATCTTGTTGCCAATGTTGAACGTTTCTGGATAGTCTGAAACTCTGCTGTATGTTTACATGTTCAGGAATTCAGTTGCATCAAAGTTTTTCCATTAAACTTTACATTTCCAAAAAACACACGAGACAAGACACAAGAACTAAAAGGTAACTAAACAAATGCTACAAGACTGGAATCCAAATTTTATACTGAATCATTGTTTCAATAACCCATGCTTCTCATAATGATTCATCACTTTGAACTGAGTTGATCAAACAACACTTCTAAAAATCTGGAGTTTTTTCAGGCTCACGAGAGGTTGGAGAAAGAACCCCTCAAATAGCTGGACAGTTACAGGTGACTCTTTACAGCACATTAAAAACATGGCTAATGATTAGAACTGTTTAGAAAGTTTAAACACTTGTATTTATTAAAATGGAAAGAAAAAAAAATGCACAATAAATATGAAATGTTGATAGAAATACATGTAAAGAAGATAAAAACACAAGTTTAGATTTAGTTTAGATGACATTGGACCTTTAAACAGAAGGTCATACAGAAATGACTCATCATTGCTAAATGTAGCAAATATGTATTCTATATGTTTATTATGTATATATACCTAAAAAAGTAAACATAACAGATAATATAACTCTTTAAAATTGGTGTTTTGTATAATTTGAGTTGCAATATGAATTAGCGCTGCAACTAATGACTATTTTTCAAATAAAAATAATCTGTGGATTATTTTTTCGATTCATAGATTAATAATCTGATAGCCAAAGGTTCTTTAAAGAAGTTGTTTTTTTTTTTTTCAAGAAATTAAATCAGGTGAAACTAAAACTTTTCCACTTGAGGAGTTCTGGATAGAACATATTGACAGATGATTTTTTTTTTTATTATCTTGAATGGCAAAATTATTACAATTTATTATTTTTTTTTACAATCTTGTTGACCAATTTTTTAAATAATCGATTAATCCCATTAATTTTTTCAGCCCTAATATAATATAATAACTGTTACAACTATTTTCTCTTCAATAAAAGGAATTCAATTATTTCACAGATTTTTTAGGTGATTTAGTAGAAACTCATAGTTATCAAATAGTGCAAACATCATACCAGTGATCATGAGCAATTTATCCAGCTCCCTCAGGATCTGGATCTGAAACACCGATGTCAGTCCAGGAATGTGCGTCAGAGAGTTCTTAATGACGTTGAGAGCATACAAGCCTTCTTCAGAACCAACTAAGACGATCTGCGGAAAAAGATAAGAAAGCCATGAGAAAGAAACCCGTAGCAGTCAGGAAAACACTCACAACACAATCTGCACTCCGCTGTGTTCCTGTACCTGGTCTGTGAGGGGTAAGGTGCAGTTGATGTCCAGACGATCATCCCCCTCCAGTTTCAGCAGAGAGTTGCCCAGAAGCTTCTATAGAGACAACAAAGAAAGGACGAAAGAACGATTTGAAAAACCCTGCACACTGAGCATGGCAGAGAGGGCTTTAACAAAAAAATAAATTAGGAAAGTTTATTTCACTGCAGCACACAATTTATCATACATACATCAGATACATCAATTATTAGAACTTTTTATATTTATATATAAATTATATATAATACGTTATATGGTTATTAATTGTTTATTTTTATATATAAACACAAGTTTTATTGGAATGTAAAAACAACATTAAACGATCACTTAAATACTTTTCAAGTCCTTTATGTATTTAAAGCTGTACCGCAAGAGGCATTACTTTTAAGGAACATCATGCATAGGTAAACCTGTAGCGCTAATAGAGCAGACAGGAATGATACAGAGGAGAGAGAAGCTTTAGACAAAAGGACAGCTGCACCAGAGGAAAAGATGTGGAGAAAAAAAACCAAACAATGACTGAATAGAGAGCCCACCTTTGCAAAAAAGTATAAGGAAAATAAAAGAACAAGGATAACTAACATGAGATAATCTTGCTTAACACAAGCATTTTTATAAGCAGAATGCTAATACAGGTTTAGAATATTATATATATCTTTTTCAAGATTTTGATGCTTCATTCTTCCTTTTTTTAAACTAGTCAGTTATTTTGTAAGGAAGTGTGAGAGTGCAGAAAGCAGAAAAGAGCAAAGCTATTGGGCAAGTATTCTGAGTGTTGTTTACCATTAACGTTGGCACATTACTTTAGAGATACGCCCACAGAAACAGTGCATATAGCAATGCTAGCCACGCTAAATGCTAATGTAACACACTAAAGACTCTTGAAAACAGAATCCACTCACACAAACGGTAGTTTTAAAGGTCTATAGTGCAAAAAATATATAAGAAATGGGGATTATTAGCATTATTAGCTCAAAAAAAAAAAGAAGTGATTAGAAATGGTTCTGATAAATGATCTCCTTGGTGGATCTCTGGTCTCATCTGTACAATGAACTTCCCCTTTAAAAGGATGTGGACACTTTAGAGATATTATAATTCTAGTAATGATACGGCATTTAATTAATATTTGGCCAACACAAAAAGGAAGAGCACCAACATTGTACAAACTACAACGCTGTGGAGAAAAGGTTTTTAACCACGTACTTATGTTACAGTATATTGTAGAGGTTAGAATGTATCAGAAATGTAAACTTTATTTAAAGAAAAAATAAGAGGTAGAGACAGAGGCATTTCTTTGGGAAAAGCTGACATTTCAGAGATAAAGCATCACAGAACATAAGATGGGACGAATAATATGTTTTCAAGTACACAAAGAAAATAATCAAGCGTCTGATGTCAGCTGTTGCAAAAACCGAGATCATGTCATGATTCTCTGAAAAGGGTTTAATCACAGCTTTTGCAGGAGCATGCAAGGCAGCATCAAACAGCAGGTCATGTCTGCAGCAGCATGATCGTGTCCATGCATTAATATCTTTAATTAATGAAAATGTATGCAGGACTGATTGCAGCTGTTCTGATCGACCATACTGAGTAAGTGACCCTGGACTGTTCTGACCTGAACTACCGAGCACAAAGTTCTAAGCAGAGTTGGGGACAGCTAACACATGCTCAGTCGGACGGGTGACTGAAGCCAGAGCGTTCGTGCAGCTACTTACTGTACCTGAACCAGAGGCGATAGGTTCTTCTGTCTTTTAGAAACACCTGCCTATAACATGATTCACATAACCCAGTTGGATGGAGGTTTACGCACAAACACGCACACAATCACACACATACAATTTATTCACACAAAATACGACACATAAAAACAGGATGAAGATATCGAAAACATGCAAAGAGAGAGAAGGAGGAGAGAAAAAAAAAGGTGAAGATGCTTGCTGATGAGGAATAAAAAGCATCTTAATTTACCTTTTCAAAGGTAAAGAGCTTTTGGCAAAGATTTGAAAATAATCTAATATTGAGAAAGCAGTAGGATGCTTGCATACATCTTATTTACAAGAATAATTACTCACTAAACAAAATCTTAGTGATGTATGAATACTCTGAATAATACTTACAGCCTCGGTTTCTGCTCTGTCTTTAGATCCACAGCTTCCGACCACGACGGACTCCAGCACTGCCACCCACCGCTGCTTGTCAGGGAAACTGGGAGCCATGAAGTAGAGGCACTGGCCTGGCCAGCAAGTGGTGTGGGGATGAGATTCCAGCTTTAAAACATAGGGGATGTCTGTGGATGTGTACAAAGATACAGTTTGGAAGAGATATTTGGAGATCAAATTATCTATTATCCATTCAAAGAAAATACAGATAAACAGAAAAAAAATATCTTTTAAAAAGGGCTTTGCAAGATGTTAATATAATGTCATTTCTGGTGACAAAAAATCTCTATATTTATTCCCACAAAAACTGGCTCAAAGTAAGATGTGTATTAGATCCAGAGTGAATGCTTAGAACATCAGTATTTTAAGATAAAGAAAGAACCCTTATTCAGTCGTGCATAAAACAGCTTTAGCATAACAGTTATTTAATAAAAACAGAAGCAAAAAAATTGACCCTTAAAACGGGCTATAGATGCAGGAAACCCCTCAAACATTAAACAGCGTGACATGTACGAAGAAACCAACTTTGTCCAGACAGATGTCAATAAGTGGTAGAAATAACTTAAGTGATCTTAACCAAAAAGAGATTGAACTGTTAGCTTGTCTTAAATTCTTCCTTAATTAGTGTGTAGACATTAGGTGTTCTTATGTTTAAAGACTCAAGCGAGGATAAATTTGAGTAGCCATGAGTAAATAAATCCCCTAATAGTCCACAGATAAGTAGAAAAATATTTTCAAAACCAAAATCAAAGCAGAGTTGCTATCAAGGTCATGTAACTTTTTTTAATGAAGTCATTTAGGAAAAACTAAAAGAGGAAGCTAGAAGATGAGGAAGATTTGCTCTTTTGAGAAGCTGTATTCTTTACCTGACTTAGCTGTGTTGATGAGCTCAGAGGCACCAACAGCTCCATGGATGGTTACCTCGCCATCAGGTAAACACAGCTCAAACTCCTCTTCAGCCTTTACAGAGTCTGGGGAGAAAATTAAAGAGCTTGATGTCAGTGTGATCGACACAACATGTTCTATGAAAATGTAATTCAAGAAAAAAAAAAAAAAAAAGACAATTTCTGACCTTCTGTTGGCTCAGTGTCATAAACTGATAATTTAGTTCCATCCAGAATCACGTACTTCCTCTCCCATCCTTGCTGGCCACGTTTGCCATTTCTATCCAGTGAAATATGAATATTAAAACTACTTTTTAGCACCAAATATATAGATATTTTGGGAAAAACTAGTACCTTGGTTGCTTCATCCAGCCTTCCAAGCGGACATGCCCAGTGGCCTCCTTCATTTGCAAAGCAGGGGAGTTGGCCTTCTCTCTGCACAGAGCCTCTGAGAAGTGCGTGGCGTACTCGGCTGGCAGACCGCAGGTGGCAGGCAGACATGGGGAACACTTGGGGTGGCACAGGGTGTGGCACTCTGCAAAGAAACAGAGAGAAGGGCGAACGAAACTTAAATTGACCATGTATATATATTTACTGAGAAAGAATGTCACATTTAGATTTAAGAAAACTAATCAACATTTAAGCAACCCTAAGAGCTATCCTAAGGGTCCTGGAAACTGGCATTGTTTAAACAATAATAGCGAAACCAATAATCCCTCCCAGGCAGAAAGAAGCTGAATAAAATCAATTTTAAGGCATAATTATTATGATTACTAAAGCATTTCTGTCATTTCTTGCCTGTCATGTCCTCTGAAATATTTTTATGCTCCATCTGTGCTGCTGAGAAGCATGATACAGACCTAAACAAGTGGCAGCCTGCCGTCCAAAGTGAACGGTGTCCAGGCAGACGGCACATTTGGCAGCCCTCATGTTGAGGCCAACGGTGAAACGATGAGGAATGTTGTGGTGCATTCTTTCCTTCACACGGCGACCAAATTCTGCAACGCATGAAGAGAGAGAGAGAAGTTACAGAAATTAGGCAAAGTGTGACATTATTATTCTGTTGGATAAATAACTAAGGAGGCTCAGCAAAGATTTGTGTCAGATGCAGCATTTCCAAACACTATAAGGCATCTTAAATAATGAACTGAATTTGTTATAAATGAGCGTTCAAGCAGCTCATAGCAGTGAAATTAAAGTCTGATTGTCATGCTAGTAAGCCCAGAAATGTATCATAATGCTTCTGAGTAAAAAGCTACCTACACATGTGGACAAAATTGTTGGTCATTTAATGAAAAAAACCCACAATGGTCACAGAAATAACTTAAACTGACTGAAGTAAAAATTAATTTAAAAATCTGTGAAAATGAACAAATAAAAGTCACACGTTGCTTTTTAAAAATCCTTTACCAAAATGAGTCTAAAAAATAACATTAAAAATGATGGCATCCTTAACTTCAACCTTGACCTGTTGAACAACCTTTTGAGTCATTGGTTGCATTCAAATGATTTGTGTGACTGTCGATCAAACTCCTGCTCCTCTCAGCAGGTATCCTGGCCCACTTCGGATGAGCAAACTTCTCCGGTTGTTTCAGGTTTGAAGGGTACCTTTTCCAGTTTAAACTCCTTATAAAGAGGCTAGATGGGATTTAGGTCAGGGCTCCTAGATGGTCACTCTAAAACAGTCTGATGTTTTCCTCTTAGCCATTCTGGGCTGTGTGTTTTGGGTCATTATCCATACGATGTGCGACTAAGACCAAGCTTTCTGACACTGGGCAGCAAATTTCTTTATAGAATCCATGGATAGTCTCGAGATTTCCTTGTAACTTACAGAGATTCAACTTATCCCAGATGAAGCAAAAAGCCCCAGAACATTATAGCACCTCCTCCATGTTTCATGGTAGAGACAGCATTCTTTTGATATGCTTCATGTTTCCATCTGTGTGAACATAAAGCTGATGTACCTTGGCAAAAAGGTCAATTTTTGTCTCATCTGACGATAGGACATTCTACCAGCAGCTTTGTGGCTTCTGAATAATATGTGCAACTGTAGTCAGAGGAACATCAAGCTGCTTGGAGATGGTCTAATAGACTTCAGTTTTAACATGTTTGTCTATTATTTTCTTCTAATTTCCTGAGAGAACCCTTTCCTTTGCTTTCTCTGGTCCATGTAGATTGTGGTACACGCAAGGAGTGTGTTCGATTTCAGCAGCTGCGTCCTCCATAGGACCTGGCCAACCAGGACAGGGTCTGTTGAGGTCCGTGAAAATAAGGAGGCAGGAAGAGTTTTGGCTATGGATTAAACAGGTCCAGCCTTCCCCTGTTTCCCCTACGCTCTGTTGCCTAGCAACTGTGAATGTTGACGAAAAAAGCAGGCAAAGAATGTGTACCGAACTTCTCACTGCTGTTCTGTGTGCTAATAACATTTTTGAGGAGCTTTAGCAGCAGTACCTTTGTAATAGATATCAGATTTAGTCCCCACAACGCAGAGATATTAGAATCTGTCCTTAAATGTCAGCCAAACCCATTTGCACAATGACAGGGACAGACAGGGACAAATTTTCAATAAACCAAACATTATCCGCCAAATATCTGACTCAATCACCAGCAATTTTCATACAGAACTATTCACAGTCTTGCATTATATTAAACTGCACTTACAATATTCACCACTGTTCACCACCATTACCCTTTTTCTTCTGTGCACGGAGCAGCCGGCTTGCTGGGAATCACAATGAATCATGGGATACACAAGGATACGTGGGATACAATGGACCTGTCTTTCAAAACGGGCAAAAAGAAGGATGCACTTGTCGGCTGCATAACGAGGAGTCTTGCAATCCGAACAGGCCTCGACGCTGCGCTATGACGTAATGGGCTCACGAATCTGGCCTTCGGAGGTTGCTGCCGCAGGATTCGAACACAGCACATGTCACCAAAGAACACAGTGACTACCTGTAGTCTTATATAGGCCTACTGCCTGATTACTTTATTAGAGACACCAGTGATGCTAATTTAGAGGATACCTCTAGATTTAACATGGCCCTTTGGTCACATTACTTTCAGTCTTTTCTAGGGGTACCACCCTTTTATCCAAGCCTGTTTCACAAGTTTATTTAATCAGTTTTTTGTAGCATGGTTGAAAAGCAATGTCTGAGTTTTTTGTTATTTCATTGTTGTCGATTTTCGTATATTTTTTATTGATTATTTCTTTAGTCAGATTCAAGATTCAAACGAGGGTTACCAGCAATTTTGTCTACATGTGTATCCTGCTATATTTTTCTACATCTACATGACTAGAGGAAGAAAGCAGTATTTGGTCACGTTAGACAGTAAAACAGATGACCACAGTGAGGATGAACATGCAGGCATGTGAGACGAGCTCAGTTGTTTGATGGTGGCTAACTTACTTTCAAACGTGACCCTCCTCTTTTCTGTGAAGAGCAAAAGGAAAGAGACACAAAGAAGAAAGTGGTCTAGCAATAGCTAACACATGGACACCAATAGCCTGCATCACAAAGCAAGAACAATTAATTCTACCTACAGGTTGTAGGGCCTTAGATTCTGATTATTATGCTGGATTATTTTTCAACATTAAAGTGGCCCCGTTACTCAAAGGATTCCTTTATACCGATATGTTAGGCTGATGAGCTGTTTCCAGTTGTAGCTGATCAACCTGCAACCAAGCTATGGAAGCAGCAGCAATGGCTCAGTTTCCATGGTGATAGCTGCTTGACGATGTGCTTTCACAGCATGTTAAAGTTGAACCTAGGTTATTGTCTTTTTATTGTTAAAACATAAAAAGATGCATTATCCTGCAAATAATGAAGAAATTACAAGATTATTCTCATTTATAAATTTATATATATTTTGAAATTGTATTAATGTTAACCATTACATTTTAATTAAGGATTAAGTTGATCATTGAAAAAAATGTATACATTCTCAACTGTGGAAATAATATATTTTTTTTTTTAGATAAAAAACAAAGGAGGCATTTTATTAAAAACCATTTGAAGTAGTTGCTTAGTTGAAGTTCAAAGGTATACCTCAGTTAATGCTATTGGCTGATACAACTGTAGGAAGGACTTCAGGGTATTGGTGCTTTAAGTAAACAGAAAACAGGACATTTAACCTGTTGATGCCCATTTTAGAGCTGATAGAAATCTCTGAATAACTGATTACTGCATCTATTATTCAATGCTGATTTTATATTGTGAGATAAATAAAAATAAAGCTTTAGCTGAATAACTAGGTAGCACAATCTTATACTACGCCTTGATTTTGCCAGATTAATTTAGAAGGAAGTCTTAGCTTAGTCATTCATTTTTGTTTTCTTTGATATTCTTGCTTTGTGAAAACAGCCATTGAGAGAAGACATACAAAACAGGACATGGACAAAAGAGGTGACCCAACAGTCCATTGGTTGGCCTCAAGTTGAATGCGAGGGGAAATCAGCTAACCTCAGGATAAGGAGTTCAAGATTTACACAGAGAAAAAAAGTGAACACTTTGGTTTCACGTGTCATTTATGAAGGTGCATTTGGTCTGACTAACCTTCAGGAGTAGAAGTCTCTTTGCAGCGAGTGGATGGGTTGAGTAAACTGCTGGGGTTAGGCTGATGTTCTGGAGATTTGACGATAGCTGACATGAGAATCTGGTGTCGGGCCTGGGCTGGTGTGGAAGGAGCCACGTGTTCCTGGGCTTTGAAATGAGCCGCTGCATCGTCAGATAGAAAACAGAAGATAAGGACCATATGGAAGTTTTGTTTTCAAAATGTAGGTTTACCCTCAGTGGCAAATTGGTAAAAGCTTTGAAATATGCTTTTTTATCTATTTATTTATTAATAGGACAACATTGAATCAAGGTATGCGTTTAACCTCAATTTTTTATTTGTGCTAAATTGCTTGATTCGGTATTAATAATATATTCATCCTATAGGAAATTCAGATTTAATGGGTGGCAGGAGAAAATATAGGACTGTTCATCTTACAAATGGATGTTGTTAAAACATAAAACAAGGCAAAATTCTCTAGAAATGTGTTTAAACAGAAAGCAGGAAGCTGTCCTGTAATTGCGTAATTGTATCAATTATTGAAAACATTCACTATATGAATATTTTGCTATTAATGAAAGGAAAAAGGGAATGAGAGGCAGCAAAGGAGGAAGAGGTGGTGAAGCAGCAGTAGAATGGAAGCAGCGGAACTATACAAACTATGAACAGGTGAAAAGAAGCAGCAAAATAAAATAAACTGCATTTGTCACTATTATAATCATTATTACAAACGAAAGGAAGTTAATCTTCTTTAAGATGACTGACCCTACCTTCTTCTCTAAGGGAGCGTAGCTCTATCCTCATCTTCTGGAGTGCCTCCTCCAGCTCGGCACACCTGGAGCGCTCCTTATCTAGGGCAAGTTTCATATCTCCATAAGGCATGGGGACTGCCGGCTGGGCCTGTTGAGCCAAGGCGCCATTAGTGGTGGTGCCGACATCTTCACGTCGCCGTCCAAAGATACCCTGTAAAGAGGAGAAGCAGTCCTCACTCCAGTCGTGACGGAGACGGCGACTCAGTTTTGTAAAATATTTACCTTCTTCTTTTTGGTAGGTTGATCCATTTTGGCCTGCAGGAAATCAATGAGTTTGGTCTGTTGGGAGATAGTGCCCTCCATTTTTACCTTCTCGTGGGAGTATACAGCCTGTGGAAGAGAAATCAGAGGCTAAGTGCCAGAAATGCATTCAGAGACTGCTTAAAAAAATAAATAAAAAAAGAAGATAAACTCTGTTTGGGAAAGCTAATCAGAATTTATCCTCATTGGCCCACTGAGACACCTTTAGTTTTTGCTTAAGCATTGACCAACTAAGGAGGACTTTCCTCTCTAGTGGGGACCAGGTTTGACTTGAATGCAGAGGTACAGTATTGACTGAGCACCTGTATATTCTCCAGCTGGTACTCCAGGTCTGTCCTCTCAGTTTTCAGCATGTCAGTCTGGTCCAGGGCATCCTGAAGGCCTTGAGTTAACCGAAAAATGTGGCTTTTTTGGAGGTCCATCTGCTGTTGGAGCTTTGCTTGCTGTAGAGGCACCAAGAGTCACCAAAAATGTTAAACAAAATATGAAAGAAATCCTTTAGAAAACAACGCAGGTGTGTTATTCTGTACCTCTTCCATCAGCCTCTGCTTCAGTTCTCTCTCAGTCTCCAGTTTCTGCTGTAAGCTGCGAGCATTCATCTCCAGCATTGCATGCTTCTTCTCCAGATCGTTGAGCTGTGACGCATACATGTCAATGAATGTCATTCACAAACAAGATGGGTGAATATGAAAAAGAAAGTGTCCAACTGATAGAACAGCGTTTCAATTCGCAATACATACAGAAATGTGCAACAAAAGTGGGCGTTTGCATATCTAACTATATATTGTAGGACACAAATGTCATACAAGCAACAGGGGCAGCTTATATTATGTTATGCCAAAGAATATCTTGTCTGTTAGGATTATCTAGTGCTGATGTAGTCTGACCTAGTTGGAGATTACTGTAAATTGTCCTTTTGAAACAGTTCATCATGTTTTCTGATCCAAGATATTTCAGGTACCAAAATATTTTTCCTGTAACATAAACAAAAGTCTATATATATATATACAGGTGCTGGTCATAAAATTAGAATATCATGAAAAAGTAGATTGATTTCAGTAATTCCATTTAAAAAGTGAAACTTGTATATTATATTCATACATTACATACAAACTCATATATTTCAGATGTTTATTTTGTTTAATTTTGATGATTACAAATGACAACAAATGAAAATCTCAAATTCATCATATCAGAAAATTAGAATATTGTGAAAAGGTTCAAAATTGATGGCCCCTGGTGCCACACTCTAATCAGCTAATTAACTCAAACCACCTGCAAAAGCCTTTAAATGGTCTTTCAGTCTAGTTCTATAGGCTACACAATCATGGGGAAGACTGCTGACTTGACAGTTGTCCAAAAGACGACCAGCGACACCTTGCACAAGGAGGGCAAGACACAAAAGGTCATCGCTAAAGAGGCTGGCTGTTCACAGAGCTCAGTGTCCAAGCACATTAATAGAGAGGCGAAGGGAAGGAAAAGATGTGGTCCAAAAAAGTGTACAAGCAAGAGAGATAACCGCACCCTGGAGAGGATTGTGAAACAAAACCCCTTCAAAAATGTGGGGGAGATTCACAAAGAGTGGACTGCAGGTGGAGTGAGTGCTTCAAGAACCACCACACACAGACGTATGAAAGACATGGGTTTCTGCTGTCGCATTCCTTGTGTCAAGCCACTCTTGAACCACAGACAGTGTCAGAAGCGTCTTGCCTGGGCTAAAGAGAAACAGGACTGGACTGCTGGTGAGTGGTCCAAAGTCATGTTCTCTGATGAAAGTAAATTTTGCATTTCCTTTGGAAATCAAGGTCCCAGAGTCTGGAGGAAAAGAAGAGAGGCACTTCATCCACGTTGCTTGAAGTCCAGTGTAAAGTTTCCACAGTCAGTGATGGTTTGGGGTGCCATGTCATCTGCTGGTGTTGGTCCATTGTGTTTTCTGAGGTCCAGGGTCAACGCAGCCACATACCAGGAAGTTTTAGAGCACTTCATGCTTCCTGCAGCTGACCGACTTTTTGGAGATGCAGATTTCATTTTCCAACAGGACTTGGCACCTGCACACAGTGCCAAAGCTACCAGTACCTGGTTGAAGGACCATGGTATCCCTGTTCTTAATTGGCCAGCAAACTCTCCTGACCTTAACCCCATAGAAAATCTATGGGGTATTGTGAAGAAGAAGATGCAATACACCAGACCCAACAATTCAGAAGAGCTAAAAGCCACTATTAGAGCAACCTGGGCTATCATAACACCTGAGCAGTGCCACAGACTGATCGACTCCATGCCACGCTGCATTGCTGCAGTAATACAGGCCAAAGGAGGCCCAACTAAATACTGAGTGCTGTACATGCTCATACTTTTCATGTTCATACTTTTCAGTTGGCCAACATTTCTATAAATCCTTTGTTTTTATTGGTCTTCAGTAATATTCTAAATTTCTGATATGATGAATTTGAGATTTTCATTTGTTGTCATTTGTAATCATCAAAATTAAACAAAATAAACATCTGAAATATATGAGTTTGTATGTAATGTATGAATATAATATACAAGTTTCGGGAATTACTGAAATCAATCTACTTTTTCACGATATTCTAATTTTATGACCAGCACCTGTATATATACACACATTGATCTGGCTAACAGCCAATATGTTACAAAGTTTAAGAAAAAAATAGTAAATACTACTAAATCAGACTTAAGAAGTTTAACTTTTGAAGTACACGTTTAATGAGTTAACTCAGTTAATTCAAGAGTTTTCTGAAGCAAGTTTGAGGAAAAGGAAGCTAAGTGATTAAAAACCTTCTTGCCCAATTCAGTCAGAGCAAAATGAACAGAGAGGCAACAAATTGTGAGAGCGAAATGTATATGAGTCAACATTTCCCACTGTCATTGCAGAACTTATATAAGCAGGCCAACAAATGCCTGGTAAATCACAGTTAACCATTGAGAGCCCATTTCCAGCAACCAAACCAGACCACCTGTTAATATGGGGGAGTGGTCACCTAGAGTCCAGGGGTTCTGAGGTCAGGTCCCACTCCCACAGACTGCCACTCTGGGTCCCTGAGTAAGACCCTTAATCCCACACTGCCCCCCAGGGCGCCGTACAGTGGCAGTCCACTGCTCCCCAAGGGGATGGGTTAAATGCAGAGAGTTAATTTCATTGCTCTGCACTTGTGATAGTGTAATGACGATAAAAGCTGAAATAATAATAATAATACAAATGACAATGGTTTGTTGATGTTTGCATTTTTGTAATGAACCCCAGAGAAAACAGTTGCTTTTGGCAAGAGACTAAAATAAATAATAAATTATAAAAGAGAAACTACACACCTCATGTAACCATTGAAATCTACTGCCATGGTTCTAGTTGGATGGTTCTACTTCTTTATCTTAAATGTTAGCACTCGCCTAAAATGACTAATTTCCTGTAACAGGCTCATATAGATTATGGGTTTTATTCTTAATATTTTCAGTTATCCAAAATATTTCATCCTAATCCCTGCTGCATCTATTTAGAAACCAGCTTTGATGCGTTTGAGAATCAGTTTCCCATTTTAACGCCCAGGTATGTCTGAATTTAACTGTCCAGGGACACAGGCCCTCAGCGTGATGCTGCTGCTACTGTGCTTAATTGTCAGTGTTGTACTCCTAGGTTTTAAAGCAGCGCCTTGATCCTGAACCTTTTACAACCAAACATCTCCGGGAGGCTTTTGGCTTGTCTCTGCGGGTGGCTGGAAGTATCTGTTTGGTGATGCTGGTGTTTGAACACCTTCCAGTGAATCTGAAGATCCTGTTCTTTTTTTTTTGAAGTTCTGCTAAACCATCCATGACAATTTTCTTTGTTCTGATTCTGTCAGTTAGAATAGCATAATGCGGTATTTTAGAAGGAACGTTTTCAATGGCATCTATAAAAGCCCCATTCCTACAAGCAGCGTATTCATATGCAGTAATTTATGTCATCTGGTGTAATGGGTTTCTCGCATCACCCAGTCTGCCAAATGAAATGCACAAGGTTTAGAAACAAATATGGATGAATTGGGAAGTAAAGAGGATAGGTGAGACACTTACAGTGTCAGAGAGACTTTCAGCTTTCAGTCTCTGCTCCTTTAAGGCCTTCTGTAATGCCAGTATTTCAGCTTTATGCTCCTTCACTGCTAGTTCCACTGCCTGACGAGACTCGGAGCTGCGCTGCTCTGCACGAAGCCTGGGATCAGAACCAATAAGTTAACTTATAAAGTTGAAAAATCTAAGATTATGAAAATGAACAACAGTTAAATTGCATGTTTGTGAACAAAAGAAAAAATGCTTTGAAAAAGCCTAATGTTTCACCTGTTCTGCTTTTCATTATCCAGCAGTCTCTGCAGGTCTCTGGTGCGTCTCTCGGCTTGGTTTTTCTCGTCCTCCAGAGCTCCTCTCCATGCCTCCCACTGCCTCTCCTTCTCCAGCAGCTCGTCGTTTAGAGACTCCAGCTCCACCACCTGCTCCTCCAGCATGCTGCATGTTGTCTTCAGGGTCTCGATGTTCTGAGAACATAAATGCAAAAAAACAACATTAACATGGTTGAGAATAAGTAGCAAGATGTTACGATCATCATTTCCTTTAAAAAGAAGAGTATTTTAACTTAGAAATTATTTATTTAACCATAAATATTTAAACAGCTATGGTATATTTTCACATGAATGCACAGATATGAAAATTTGGGCCAATATTAATACCAAAGAATTTTGCTGTTTATGGTTGATAGCAGACATTGCATCCTATTTTGAGCTCTATCCTTTTGACAGCATAACTAAACATCAGTTGTCAATATTGCCCCACTTTTACTTATCGGCCCGATACAGATAGGTTTCAAAATAACCAACACTGGCTGATCCTGATGTTAAAGCGGATCGATGCTACATTCCTGATTTTCACTTCTTCAGCACCTGGAGGTAGAGGCCAATTCAGTTGCTCTGATCTGACCTGTTTCTGGTTGTTGAGGTGCATCTCGCGATCGGCCACCTCCCTCCTGAGGCGGTCCACCTCCTGGCTGAGCTGCATCTTATCCTCCCTCTCGTCAGATGCTTCATCCAGCTGTTTGGACAAGTAGAAGTTTTGGCGGTTCAGTTCGGCATTTTCCTGACTCAGCTGTGTGAGCTGCTCTTCCAGGTCAGTGATCACCTGAGGGAAGACAAACACATGGAGGCGTTAACCCCGGACATACAGGTGATCATAACTTAAAACCTCCTACACATTTGCCTTTTGGTTCATTTTATTTGAAATGTGTTGCTTGGCTGGAATAATAATAAGCTGCAAATAGATCCTTAGTAAAGTGCTACTCCTTAAATATAGATTGCAACACTGAACAAGTCTTTAGCCAAATATCTTTTGTTTAAAGTAAAGAAAAAAGAAGGTAGAGGCGGTGCTTACTGAGCAGCTGTCCCTTAAGGCATCAAATTTGCGCTGAATGTCGTCTCTGTGGTTCTGCAACAAAAAACAAAACAAAGAAAACAAACTCATAAAACATGATGCACACAAAGTGAAATTATGAACAGCCTAAATCTTTAAGATTAAGTATGTTAGAAGAGAAAATTAACATTCATACAAGAAGAATACATGGAAGTGGCTTTTGCTGCAGGGTATCTGCTTCCGTCGTCCCATCTGCACACTAACTTTATGAGTAATTGTCTTTGTGGAGTATCACCTCTTACCCTCAGTGCAGTAATTTCCTCCTCCGCCTCAGCAGTTGTCTCCTCCAGCTCAGTCTTGGCCTGTTGCAGCTGACTTTCCAAGGCAAGGCGTGCAGCCTGCAGGCTGCTGATCTGGGATTCACGCTCTTGAAGGGATAAGGTCAACTCCGACACCTGTCTCTTAATCTCCAACTTCTCTTCTTCATGTTCAAGGCCCATCTACATGGAAAACAAAGTGATAAGTCTGCTTTCACCACGTTCATGCACATCTTTCATTTTAATGTTTAATATTCTAACATTCAAGATTTTGGATTTTTTTTTCTTTTCAGAAATTTGTGGCAGCTATTTTATGGTGGTCCTGTTTTAGAAAAGAAAGCCACACACTGTGAAGAGGATTGGCAGACGGTTGAAAGACTGATGAATGAATAGAATATGAACCAATAAAGGAGGGAGTGGAACGTACAGATGAAGGGATAAAAAAAATGAAAACAAGAATGGATGGATACAACCTTTGAAGAATGAAATACAAAAAAATAGCCTTATTTATTTATTTACATATTTAGTCTTTAAAAGCAGCAGTAATTGAAGGAGCCTTGTTTAATGTTTGTAGAAGACTGGACTCTATAGGCTTTAGGAAAGCAGTGCTATAATAAAAGTGCTGCTGTGTAATTAACTTTATTCTTAGCTTTAAATGACAATATATAAGAAAATTCATCAAAACCAGCCGAATTAGAAGCTATAATCTCAGAGGGGTAGAGAAACACACTGGTCAAGATGAGAATCAGCTGATTCTCATCTTGACCAGCTGTTTGGAAAATCCAAAAATCAAATTTTTTTTTCTGATCCGTGAATAAAACAACATGGGGCCCGGATCCAGCACTAAAATGGTGGTATCGGTATCGGCGAGTACCGACAAATAGGGGACTGATACCATTTTGAGAGCTATCAGTTTATTCAACTATTGTCACCAATTCCAGGTAGGCAATAAAAAGTTCTACTGGATTCACTTTGTATTAGTCTTTTTCCTGCTTCACAAAGGTAGGCAGCAGCTCGACAAAGCCATGATGGCAGTTATTTTACATCCAAGTAGTATGCAGTTCTTCATATATACACACACATCAATTTTGAACAGATGGTATCGGTCGATACTGCACAGCCAGGTATCTGGGCCAAAAAATGGCATCAGCGCAACACTAGTTGCTTCTACATCTTTTTTATTGTTGTTGTTAACCTAGGTTGGTACTGTCCAGTGCTGAAATGGCTGGCGCCTTGTCTGCCCTGGCTGTGCAGTCACCACAGGCCCTGTCCAGTGCTGAACCTTAGGAGCCTCGTATGGGCGCTGTTGAAGGAGTTAGGGTCCTGTCTGAAGTGCTGGCTAATGGCAAAGGGTTAAATTCTGAAATATTGGAAAGAATTTGATGGACGGGTTTCATAGGATGAGTGATGTGCAGCCCCCCAGAAGCCCTCAGCCAAAACAATTAACTTGTCTGCCCCTGCTGTGCAGTCACCACAGGCTCTGTCCAGTGCTGAACCTTATTTAACCTGGGGTGGTACTGTGCAGTGCTGAAATGTTTTTAGTGATGGTTTTCACTTATTCTGTGTGCGTCTATAAGTGGAAACATGTTCAAACACAATTGCAATGTAACTGTACTTTGATGATGAAAACATGATGAAAGCAAAAAAACAAGAAATGTACAAAGTGACCAAGACTAAAAAAATTATTGAGTAGATGTAAACTAAAGCAGTGTGGTCTTTGTAAATGAAAGGTTAAAATGTTGATGGCCCTTAAAGATGTGACACACCCCTGCTCAGACAACCAGAACTAGGTTTTAGTGGTTGCTGCTCTTTCTGCCATTTAGCACTTTTACATTTCGTGCAAAACGTCTTATGTTCAATGAAAGGCCTTCAGCCATGGGGTGGGTCATGTCAATCAAACCGACCTGGAGATAACCGGATCAGCAGATTACAGTAAAGGCTGTTTCTTTATATCTTTTTTAACATTTAAACCCGTCTCTTATGGGACAAACAAAAATTGGAAGTGTTGTCAGTCTTCTGGAAATCTCAGAGTAAAGATATCAAACATTACATTACTGGTTATAGAAAAGACTAGTTTTTAAAGTGTCAACTTTTTTATTTTTTAAAACAGGCCGTGTATCCTGTCTCAGTAAAGTCTGAGGAAGCAGAGCCATGACAGCAGGCTGTCAGCAACATCTGCAGACAAGCACTCAATAACAGACTTTAGTTCTTCACCAGTTATTAAACCATAAATAAAACTAAACATTGAACCATTAGGATGAATTTCCCATTGTGATGGACAGATGTGACCATGTCTATGCTGGTACTAGGGGTGTAAATAATAATCGTTTTGTATCGATGCATCGATCCAACGCATCGATACGTCCGCATGAGTATCGATTCAAGTTTTTTTTCTCCCTCCGGTCTATTTTTATCCATTTTGCTCCTGGACGTAATTCTCCCTCCCGTGCTGCGGTGGCGCTAAACCTATTTTGCCCTCCTACCTCGCTTCCTGGTTATACTCTTACAGCAGTTTGTTGCTGTAAGCTTGACACAGACATTTTTTATTTACGCTCAGTATTTAAGCGTGGTCTGTGCTATACGCTGTGGGTCTAGATTTGGCCGAGGCGGTGGGGGCGAGTTTAGTCCGACGACGGAGGGACATGAGGGCCAAAAAGAATCCAGGTGGAAAAAGGGTCCCAGCATTCTCGCGCATCTCGCTCTTCTAGCGGGTCAAACTTCACGAGTTGTTTTCCGCAATTTTGGTCATAAAAACAAAACAAACCGGACTCCTGTCTGCGGTCAGCTACAATTTGGGAGAGGTGCAGCGGAGCGTCTGTGGAGGGGGCGGGGACGTCTGGAGCCGAGTTATTGAATTGCCCCTTTTGTACAGATTTTGTGCAGTATTTTCTGATACAAAGCCTTGCAGAATCTATAACGCAGGGGTATTATTATTTTTCAGTGAATGAGGTTTTAATAGGAATAAATAAATAAAGTGCAACTTTTCTACTTTTGTTATTTTCTGTAGTTTCTCAAAAAAAAAAAAAGCATAACGATATTACAGCTTTCATTGATTTATTTCAAATTTGAAACATTGTCTAGCCTGTAAGGTGTGCAAAAAAAAAAAAAAAAAAAATGGACCAGTTCGAATCGTGGTGTATTCTTGAGTATCGAAAATAATCGAATCATTGGGTCAGGAAATCGATACTAAATCGAATCGCCATGATGGGTGTGATTAACACCCCTAGCTGGTACTGTGTAAACGTACAAGCAATGATCTGATTCCTCTCCTCATTTTTTTTCTAGTTTTTATAAATATTTGCAGACTAAGAGCATAGGGGACTGAAGTTCAATCCTTGGCTTTTTTGCCAAAATCTGGCCAATAAAGCTTATTTTGACTGTTCACATTAGGGGGTTCTACCTAGACGAGAGCAATAAAACCCGACCAGCTGATCAGATCCTTAATCCCTTCGTTTCACTGTAATCCTGCTAGGCTGGATTCGGTGCTGGTTTAAGTGAACTACTTAATTAGGAGTAGCTTATAGATTAACCCTGTCCGTTTGCCTGCTGTTGCCTCACCTCCCGAAGCCTGCTCTCCAGCTCCATCAAGCGGGATCTCCTGGTTTGCTCCTGCTGACTCATTTTTTCCAGGTGCTCCTCTAGTTTGGCATTCTGAGCCTCCAGCTTGCCTGCTTGAGATTCCAAATAAAACTTCTGCTGACGAAGTTCTGAGATCATTTCCTCCTGGGCTTTCCTGCCAAGAAAAACTAAAATCAAATAGGGCTTTTATTTATATATTTTACTCATCTCTAAGAAAGACAATCTGTATCAAAAGACTGCAAAAGTATTTATACAACTCTCAAACTTCTCTCAATTTCAACCCCAAAATAAGTTTTAGACTAACTTAAGGTATTTTTATTTTGTCCAAACAAATATTTCAAAAGTTAACATGGAAGTACAAATGGCTCCTTGATTTCAAGTTTTGCACACTTGGACAGTCAAAATAACTACAGATTCTTCTTAGAGAAATGCCTCATGCTCAGTCAGAATGGATGCCAGCCTAACGTGAGCAAGCTTAAAGAACATCCAATTTTTTGGAAGACGATTCTTTAGATTTAGGTCTGGGTTATAAATATGTTTGGTAGCATGTTCCATTTTAACTCTAGTTACAGTAATTTTTCTTCCAGAACATGGGCAGATTTAAGCAGCCTCAAGATAACTGATATGGATTTAGGATTTAGCTCCCCCTATCTGGTTCTTTATAGTGTTCAATTATTTTTCTGCCACAAAAATCTTTCATTTTAGTCTCAGCTGACTGGAGCATCATCTATTTGGTCTTTGTGATGCTGTTTTTATTCTAATGTTCAAACAAAATTGGAACAGCTGGATTCTGCAAGGATTCATGTTTTTTTCTCTTTTTTTTTAAAAAAAAAATATGAAACTTTTTCCCCTCCAGTTTATAATTGTACTCTATTATGTGTTTGTTGATCACATAAAAGTAAAAGCAATAAAGTTAGTAAAAAACATTCTAAAATATGGACATTTCTAGATTGTGTGATTTAAGAAAGCTGTTTATTTACCGGTAATTAGGAAAAAAAATACTAAAACCTAAGCCTACCAATTCTTAGATATGATAGAAAGACATGGAATAAAAGGCTGGTTTAAATGTACGCGAGTGATGAAGTGGTAAAACTCAGGCTGGTCGTGAAATTGGCAAGTGTTTGACGTTTTGTTCTCTCACATGTTTTTCTGGGTGTAGATGCTGCTATTGGCTGCTAGCTTGTTAGCCTCTGACAGCTCAGCGATGCGCTGCTCCAGGTTCTTCATCTTGGAATCCATAGCATTGATGGTCTGCAGCAGAAGGAGGATAAAATCAAAGCCCTGCAGATCAAGGTTTAACTAGAACAACAAATCAAAATATGATCCTCTAGAATTTACAATAATTACATAAAAAACAATGGAAGTTATTTCGGATTTTTTTCCCCCTCTGTAAGTAAACAATGTTTTACATGAACAGAATTCAATTTGAATCTATTTAGTCGGCTGCCATGTCAATGACAGACGACTGCCTGAGAAAGCTTCTTACCTCCTTGAGTCTAACACATTTACGAGATTAAAAAACTTAAGCTCAGGCTGTATTGAGCAACAAACACATTTTTCCATTTACCCTGTCTTCTTTAGCACTACATGCTAATGCAACCAAACTGCATTAGCATGGAGTACCACATCATCTAATCAATTCTCATCTCACAATCACACTTTCCTATCAACGTAACCTGAACACATTTTCAACTCCAAACTAAGCAGACAGGGAGATTTAAAGGGAGATTTGGTTTTCTTACAGCTTTTTGTTCACTAATTAGTTTGCAGTTCTCCCTGGACTCCTCCTCCTGCTGTGCCCTTTTGGCCTCCAGGCTCTCCTTCTCAGCCATGTCTGCCTTCATCTGGGACTCCAGAACCTGGATCCATAAAAGCCAGAACAAATATGAGACTTCACTCATGGCATTATGGGAAAAGTGGGGGGTGGAAACTTCACATAGAATATTGTCAGGTCTGAATGTGAGACATGTGATGGTAACACTGGTTCAACTATAAGACCTGGGGAAAAGACTCAAGTATTTTCTGACTCACCTTGATCTTATCTTCAAAAAGCCGCTCTTTTTGAACCAGCTGAGTTTCCATCCTCTGGGCTGTTGACTGGGCATCTCTCAGGTTTTCCTCTAGTTCCTATGGGAATTAAAAGCATTATTACAATATCTAAAGTTACCATAACAACACAGTGAGGAGACTAAATCGACCCTCACTCTAAAGACAACAGACAAAAGCAAAGGAGGAAACTTGCATTAAAAAGCTGGAAATCAACAAGCTGACTGTAGCGATGCCTGCTCATGGTGAAAACCACCAGATTAGCTCATTTAAAACTAACTCTTCTCAATCTTTGTGTAAGGCCCTGCTCCCTCTATCCATGTCCTACATCCATTAATGTCTGAGACAAGATCACTACGGGGTTAGAAGGGTGGAAGGCACGGAGCAGTGGGGGAAATTAGGGGTGGAGTAGCAGAGAGTATTAATGAGCTTTATCTAAGGGTGTCTTACCAGGATCTTTTCAGCCATCTGCTGGATTTGCTGGGATTTGGTCTGAATGTCATCTTTCAGCTTGTTCTCCCTCCTCTCCACCATCTCCAGCCTCTTTACCTGGTTTTCTAGTGTCTTCCTGCCCTCCTGCTTACGCAACAACAACATCCAGCGTAAAAAGTAAGTGCACAGAAAAGTGGTGGCGTCCATCAACAGAGAAGCAGAGAGACAATTAAAAAGTGGAATTAAAGATGTCAAACTGCCTTATAAAAATATCTACCATTTCAACTTTTTCTCAACTTATGTTAAAAACAAACGTTTTAAAGAGCTATAAAGAAAACGTTTTCCTTTATGCTGTATCGACATTAATCTCTCTAATTTCTTCTCTAAAGCTACCTATTGATGCAACAATTACTAAAAGTCTTTAAAATTTTGCCTCAAAGAGAGGGCTGTTAGTAACTTAAAATCTTTAGTAGGGCTGGGCAATTTCGGTTCAGATTCCTCGATTCCATTCCGGTTCCTGTCAATCTTTGATTCTGATTCTTTAAAGAGAAAGTGCCACAAAAGTTTACATGTTATAGGTGAGCTTGCTAACCAGAGTTCTGTTTGAACGAAATGGTCTAAATGGAAATTGACTTCCTCAATCATTTAACTTCTTGTAAATATTACTATGAATTTTTACATCGTTTTCAACCAGTATATAAAAATGAAACCTATGAACTCTAATATAATCAAACCTTCTTTTCACAGAGTTACATTTTACACGGAGCTTTCCGTTTAACATAATTATCTTTACACGTATCCAGTGTTTGATGCTTCAGGTACTAATGTCGTATGACACAGTTTTTATTTTAATTATCTAGTTCTGTCTGTGGTGTGATACTAGGCTGTCAGAGCTGGAGGAAAAAGCAGCACAGGGGGGAGACATCCTTACAGTTTATAAACTTTGGGGTCGTGCACTGCACTTCATTTCCACTCAAAATGTGGATGTAGTGATGTTTCATCTCAGTGGACAGAGGAAAGATCACATTTAATACTCCATTGTTCAGTTAGTGGGTTTTATCAAATGAATCGAATTAACTATAATAACAAATCTAAATTGTGTGTGTAACATAAATTAACTTCTTTCAAGGCACTGTGTATTGCTGTAGATTTAGGCTGGTACCTCTGTCTCTCTCAGACGACGCTTCAAAGTATCACTGGAGTCGGTTTTCCCTCGCAGGCGCTCCAGATCCCGCTCCAGTCGCTCTTTGGCCTGTCGGACATTCTGCAGCAGCTCTGTGGCTTCTGTGCTCGCTTTCACTGCCTGGGGAAAATCAGAAGGTCAAAGGCTGCTAATGGATCCCAAGACGGACATCTTGATATGCTAGCTCAGCTCCTACCCATGGTTGCCTAGGGAAAATAATGGACTATGAGAATAAACTGGAGCTCTTTTACAAAATGCTTAACTGAAACGTCTGCTTATATCAAGACAAACCCCCCAGTGTCTATGGAGGGACAGCATGTGTTTCTATATAATAAAGAAGAAACAATAAAGGCAAAACTACCTTAGAAAGTTTGTCTTGGAGCTCTTGGATTTTCACCTGCTGCTCAGAGTTGGTCTAAAAGAAAAAATTATGTGTTCAGACATCAATTCTGATGAGTTTAGCTGATTAAAGATCAACAAGAGTCTCATCTCTCTTTTACCTTCTCAAGTTTGGAAAGAAGCTCCTCCACTTCAGCTTTTCCTTGCTCTTTGGCCTGAAAATTAACAACCCGAAACAGATCAATCAATATTCCCCAGCTGTGGACACAGGTTACTGTAAAATTATTAATTTCCGAGGAATAAAAAAATAAAGTAAAAAAACTGTGTGATATTTTATCAATTAATCGATGTCATATCTTTGACTATATTTACCAACAGGTCTATTTGGTGTTTAATGTTAACCAGTCTATTTTTGTGTGTATTTGGTTGATTCATTTATTGTTTGTCAAAATTGTCTGAAATAAATTCCTTTTCATTTCACTGTATCATTTTTTTTTTTACCTTTTAAAATTTCTCATGTGAATCTCTACATTAGGTGTTTAGAAGTAATGTATCAATAGCATGGTTACATTCATAATAATTTATCATTATCATCAGCTAATTTAGCTATGGAATATGGACTCTAAAACAATTAATTGCTAAAATAACCCACTCAGAAGAGAAATGAGGCCAGAACTGTGCAACGCGCATTTTGAAATAAAGATGAAAAACCTTCTGTTTCTGTAAATATGCACCATCTAGAACTCATTAAGTAGCAGCCTTTAGAAGGAAGCAATTCATTCAAATAAATTTGCTAAATAAGAAAATATAATTTTCCAAAAAAGTAAAATGACTCCTCAAACATAATAAATGCTAAAAACTTAAGAGCAAACCATGATTTGCTTTGAGTACCGTATAAGCTTTACACTCACTATAAATATATAGCTTATCTTGGGGAAAAACAAAACAACAAAAAACCTAACCCAACCTTTTGGATTCTCTGTTGATATTCCACTGCTTTTCTTTTAAGCTCCTCGCTTGTTTGTCTGGAGTCTCTCAGCTCGGCTTCATAGAGGTCACTGCGACGCCTTGCAGCTGAAAGGTCCTCCTCCAGCTGTCTGATGGTCACCTGCATCTCCTCCAGCTGGGCGTGGTACTCCTGAGGACATGAGCAGCACACAGTTGGTAACAGGAAAGAAAAAAAAGAACAAGTAAAACTTTGCAGATGTGAAAATTTACCCAATGGTTGAAAAATTATGTTGTCGGGCCCCAAGATGTACCGGTATACATTCTTCAGACTTTCCTTCCTCATCAGAAATTCTCAAGTAGGACAATATTAAGAGTCTTTGCTGGATTTTTGTCTCATAGGAAGCAGTGAGTTTGTGGTGATTCAAAATTCCACCCATATGCCAGTTATCTTATTGCTGATTATTTCATGGCTTTGTCATCAGAAGATAAAGCCATTATCTCAACATTTGGATTTTCCAAATTTGTCAGTGCATAGCAGTCTTAGTGTATATGGACTTCTGAAATTTAAGAAAGCAATAAAACACAAAAACCTTCCCCTTCATTCTGACATTCAGCTAACAATGAATTCAATAATCTTAACAATGAAATAATTGTTAGACCATTTAATGTCTAACAGTTATAATAAAAAGCTTATGGATTGCCAAAGCCAATTACTGTCTGTACGACACGTTTCCTGACTAAACACTTGTCAGGTTATATTATGATCTTAGGCTAGCTGTTGTCAGTTAGCCATACTAATTTATTGGCCGTGCTTTTGAAGGGCAATATCTTAAGCCCCAGTCACACCTTGATGATCTGGCCACCATATGCCTGATGTATGAAAAATCTGGCAAAAACGCTGGCATACGTTGGATAAGTCATGGGGACATTTAGTATATGTTATGAGCATGGTTAAGTACGCTGGCACACGTCGACATATGGCAAGTACATCGACATATGCCAGCATATGCTCAGACCAGGGCCATTAGTTACAGGTAAGTTATTTGATCGTTGTTATACGTTAAGTGTGAGTTACTTATATGTTGTGGCGTCTAGCTTATCAAAAACCTATCAGTAACTTGTGCATAACTTATGCATATCTTATCTCCAATGCTTATCAACGTATTTGACGTGTTTCAGACGACCGCTGAACGTGTTTCTAACTTAAAGCTACTGTATAATGGCCTATTTGCAGCGTTTTGGTATAAAAGGGGGTTCACAGGAGGAAATCGTCAGTAGTCCTCCAGACTTTATCCCTTCCTAGCAAACAAGACGCTAAATCAGCTGTGACTGCAAACCATCTTTCTTCTTTTTCTTTATGTATGTAATCTTTTTTTTTTTTTGGCAGGCGGTTAACAGCCGCCAGGTTAATACCGCAATCCAAGAGATCTTCTTATGCTGGCCGGACACCTCAGGGCGCATTGCTGCCCCTCTCAGGATATTGGCCTGTGACATTTCATGGGCATTACGCTGCTGTGCGCTATGCATAAGTTAGGCTGTCGTTGGACATAAGTTCTGGACTCATTACAAATACGCTTTGTATATGCCAAAAATAAAAACAAATAAAAAAACAATTGGAAAGTTCAGTGTATGCCAGTGTTTTAGAACATTCTGGGACATCAGGCATACGCTGACTAAATTGTCAAAGGTGTGACAGGAGCTTTAACAGATCATTACCAACAGTGAAGAAGAGCCGATTATATTTCTTGTTGGCGAGTGATCCACTCTGCATGCTTAACTCCAACATTCCCAGACAGCTGTTTAAGAACAGGAAACCGCAGAGAAGGAGCTAAAATAATAGCCAATAAATTTAATGTCGTTTAAAGCACAGTGCTACATTTTTCTGTTAAGGTTTGTCTGGTCTTTATTACCTGGAATAACCCCCGAAAAACCTTTTAAACTAAATGTTAAATTAGTCCTATCAAAACTAGCTTAGCATTCCAGGAAACTGCTCTGTATAAGAAGTAAGGAACTTATTAGTTTATTGAAGACAGTTGCCATAGATGCATATTTGGGAAAATATCACAAACCATCTGTCACCAAAAGCCTTACTGCTGCATGCAGAGCGTCACTGGTGGGTGAAGCGTGTGGGATATTTTACTGCTCTTCAAAGCTGTTGAATGTTAGGGCATATGGAATTGATTTTAATGACTGAACCGAAGACAAAAGCTTTAAAAAAAAGTCCTAAAAAAGACATGCCTAGCTGATTTCAAGTATGGAAAAAGTAGCATACGTTAAAAACTGAGATCTGAGTGCAGACAGCCAGTGCTGTGCATGCCTCCCAGATCGACTGACACCATTTCACTCTGCATTCTTCATCTGAAACTGCAGTACTTTGAGACAGTTCTTCAGTAAAAGCTCCAGAATTGAAACTAAAATCCCTAATAGTTCAACTTTCCACAACATTAACATTTTATTATCCTGGAATAGTTGGGGACATTTTTTAAAAACCAACAAGAAATTAAGCTCTTTTAGGAAGAATTTCTTGAGCTGAACTCTATCTGAATGAGGTGAGTCTGAGGTGTAGAGGGTGAAGAGGAACTGAAACAGAACGGTGCCCCGGAGGGCCCGTGTCTGCAGCACCGTGCCCCCCCCCCCAGAACACCTCTTCACCCTCTACACCTCGGACACACTGGGGTACCGGTCATCGGTCGGTCATCATGTACTTTGTGGACTGGTGTGAGGAGAACCACCTGTGTCTTAACACCAATAAGATGAAGGAGATGGTGGTCGACTTTAGGAGAAGATGCCCACCTAAGTCCCCCATGAACATCCAGGGGCAAGACATAGAAACTGTGGGGAGTTTCAAATACCTGGGTGTTCACATCAATAATAAACTGGATTGAACTCATAACACGGACCCCCTGTACAAGAAGAGACGCCTCCACCTCCTGAGGAGGCTGATGTCCTTTGGAGTGTGCCGGCCCCTGCTAAAACCTCTTATGACTCTGTGGTGGCATCAGTCCTCCTCTACGCTGTTGTCTGCTGGGCCTCTGGCAGCGCAGAGGGGGACAGAAAGAGACTGAACAAACTGGTGAGAAAGGCCGTTTCTGTCCTAGGCTGTGCTGCGAGGAGGGTGCTGTCCAAGCTTACGTCCATCATGGACAACACCTTCTACCCTCAAGTGGAGCTGAACAACTCCTTTAGTGAAAGACTTTGTCACCCTGTTAGTAAAAAGGGGTGCTACCGCAGGTCATTCATCCCTGCTGCAACCAGACTCTACAGTGCGACACTACAAAGGTAATAACATAATATGCAATTTCTATTTAATACCCTGTGCAACAACACTGTATAATAATCCTGTTAATTAAGAGACATCAGCTATATATATGTATATATGTGTGTGTGTGTGTGTGTGTGTGTGTGGACACACTGTATATACTGTATATACCCCATGCACCTTGTCTTCCTTTTGGCACCTTCTTCTTTTTGACTATTAAGCTGATGTAACGAGTAAATTTCTCCACTGTGAGATCAATAAAGTCAATCAATCAATTAAATATTAACAATGAGCCACCTAGCTGCTTTATTAATAGAACATTGATGTAGATCCTAACATTTTACATGCATCTGTTATATGAAGTGTTGGTGCATCAAGCCAGTCTAATTAATGGGTGTCCTGCCTCTGCGTGGTGGCCTGGAGAACCTCTTGGTCATGTTTTGAACCGTACAGGGATGCCATCTGCTCTGATGACCTTTATGACTGTGGGACACCCAAAGGGGAAGCCCTGTCAGTGTAACACACACAGCTTTTTTTTTATGATTTATGGGGACGTGTCACTAACTTACATATTTTACATGGCCTAACCCAGACCCTTACCATAACCATTACCAACATCTAACTAACCCTGACCTAAACTGAATTTACACCTGGATGCCCCATCTGCACCTGCAAGTCCCTACACTGTAGGTAAAGCAAGAACACTCCCACACACACAGAGGGATATTTTTAGACTTTAGAGTTATATATAACATATAATGTCACTGCTTCTTCAAGTGCTCCACTTTAATCAGTCATAGTTTAGAGCAAAACTTTGAAAAACGACAAAATTAACGACAGATTTAAAGATTCCAACTTCATGAAAAGAAAATGACCACAAAACATACTTGTTCCTTGATTTCTTGCAGCTTGTTGCTCTGCTCTCTGATGTCGTGCAGCAGCTGCAAGGCCTTATCATCTTCTCTGGAGACCTCGACGCGTGCCTCCTCCAGGCTTCGCTTCAGGCTCTGCAGAAGCAAGCATGGAAACACACAACACAATCAACGAAGTCAGTAGTGTAAAAACCTAACAGATGTGTTAGTGAGCAATCACTCCTTTTACAGTATCACGTTCATACTTTCTCAGACGGCCTACAAACATATCTCAATGAGCTGGTAGTATGACTCACGCTGCACTCAGTAATGTAGGTGGCGAGGTCTTGCTCAAGGATGCTTCTCTGAGTCTCGGACGCCTTCAGCTCCACATCCTTCTGGTGGAGCACTGACTCCAGGTCAGTCATTTTGCGCTGGAACCTGGAGATTTCCTGCTCCATCTTAATGCATCAAGGAAAGCTTAGATTATACGTCCATTTTTATATATATATATATATATATATATATATATATATATATATATATATATATATATATATATATATAAAAAATATGTATTAAAAAGGAATGAGCATCACTATGCTTGTCTGCCAACTCCCACTTGGCTGGTGAAACTCATTCTGACTGAGATTAGTGATTTCTGTGACCACCGAGAAGGCCGCAAATTACGATGCTGTGATGTTTTACCAACAAGGAGATTATCTTGGCTTATTGAAGCACAAGCAGAAGCTTCCATGATCCATGTAAAGCCAGTCTGCCAGAATAAACACAACAAGCCTGCTAATAAAAACCCCTTTGTAGGACAGTTTTGTTTAAAATATGGAAACAGAACTCTAGTTTCCAGTAAAGGAATTAGTAACTTTGGTTTGCATGAAATGCCTACAATGTGTTTCTGGAAAGAAGAGCTTTATCAAGCTAATCCCTATTAATAAAATGTTAATAAACTGTGATGAAACAAAGCATGGATTTGTGCTCCTACCTTATGGCATTTGTCTTGAGTGTCCTGTAATTCTTTGCTTTTAAGATGAAGCTTCTTTTCCATGGAGTTGGTCTTAGCAGGAGAGTTGAGGCCTGCAGACACTGACCTAAGACACATGGAGAGAATTATTAGTGCATTTAAGTAAATTCCTTCCTGCTGAGCGAAACCAAACAAATTAAGCATTTTCGGCTTTACTGCAATATTAGTTTCATTTACATGTGGTATCACTGCTATCAATGTATCCAGTTTTAAAAAGAGGGAAAATATTATACATTGAAAATGTTACAGTTCGGTCCAAACACGATCTTTATTTGTTATTAATTACACCCCCTCTAAAGAAGTCCAAATATAATCAAAAATAAAAAGAGATGGGCTGATTTTTTTCCCCCTGTATGGCCTGTACCTGCATGCTTTCATTGATTCATGGAGACATTCACAGGCCATGCCATAGCATAGTTATCCCTTTTTTTTCAATGATTTGCTTCATTTATCAATAAATCTTTGTTTTGCAGGGGCTGGGCGCAGGACCCATGAACAGAGGCTATGGTCATCACCGTGGCCATCACAGGTTCAAATCCCGGCATGTTGACCCTTGCTGCAAGTCTTCCCCCTCTCTCTGATCGCATTACAAGTCTGCCTTCTGAGGCCCCTAGAGTCCAAAAACAATCCAAACTGAAATTTGCATGACATTTGTTATCAATTTCCATAGTTATCATGAAAAAAAAAAAAGCAATTCTGACTTCAAGTCTCCCAAGCAATACTAAACAGCAGCACATCAGGAATCGGTTGGCCTGATAAAAAAAACTGCCTTAGTCTATCTCTACAAATTAGTCAAGTTGCAGTTTGATGTATTCTGTTGTATTATCCTGGGGGGATAAGAAATAAACATAATAGATTAAACTCCACCTGAATATACTTAAGGTGAAGCTTCCATTTGTATATTTACATTAGTATTTAGAACAAAGAAATATTTGTATATTTGCAACAAAAAAAAAAAAAAAGATCTTTGATGCATTACAGTAAAAACTTCTTTCTAGGTTTCATTCTGTATTTTATTCTTTATATACACTAAAAATACATTATAAGCTTTTCCAACTAAAAGCTTCTAGGTGCCAAGATACTGAGGAACGAAATAAACTCCAAGAAATTTGATTCAGCCTAAGCCAAATAAGGATGCTATCCAACCCTTTACACTGTTTAAAATGTCATCCTTTCTTTTTTAGTTCCCCTCACATAACAAGAACACAACAATCATAATAGAAAAGCTTTATAATATTTCTTTCTAGCCTGTAAAAACCAATGAAGCAAAGAAAACAACATCAAGGTTTGCCTTGAATCAATTCCTTCCATTTAGAGGTTCATCTGGTCCGGCAATAACACTCCTGCCAACAGTTAGGGGGATAAGAATGAAAGCTTTTTGTTGTGTATTTTCTGTTCAATGTTTTTTTCGGAACAACTACAAATAGCAGTGGAAACAAGAAATAGTGATGCAGGCATGGAAATATTTCCTCTCTCACTGACAAAATAATGTGACAGCAGAATTTTGATTGTGTTGTTGTTTACCATGGGTCTATTTTTAACTTTGCAGTGCTTTTATCTCGCCTGATTCCTTTCCTTTGGAATATCATAAATAAACAGGCAATTCAGTTTAATCTGCCTTCCTGGAGAGAAGACAACTCTGAGCAGCAGCTTTTGGATAAATGAGCAAACGGTTATGAATGGATTTACAAACACAGCAAAAGGATAACAAAGTTGACTCAGCCTGAGTCACTGTGTTAGGAAAAAAAAGAGTCACTGTGTTAGGAAAAAGAAAAAACAGACAAAGCAAGCCCTGCTCCACAGTAAGGAGTGCTCTCCCTGAAATATATCAATACACGGAACATATAGTTCATTATATAAGCAGAATCCCCCACCCACTCACATTGAGCTCTGCTAAATAAAACCTGAAACACCACATCAGGCCCTTTTTTCTTGGGATTCCTGAGGAAAACCAAAAGCCAACAAGAAGCTAACAGGATTATGCTTTACTTACACATAAAAACTGAGACTATATGCAAATAATATTGTAAATATATAAAGTATACAGATTGAGTCTCTATGTCCTGGGGTCTATAAAAAAATGTTTCCATTCATTTCATAAAACTGACAGCATCAAAGGGGCGTCTTTCTCTCAACTTTCAGGCTTCTTACGTCGTCTTCTTGGCAGGTTTTACATTAAACATTTGTGTGAAGTACAGGCCAGCGCTGTGTAGTCAAAGAACATGGTGGTTCATTTCTTTGAACTGTGGCTGAAAAATAAATGAAGATTCAGTGTAGACTGCATTACTGAGAGGGAATCGATGAAAGACAGGAACACCCATAAGGTATGCATGTTTAAGGCTTATTAGCATTGATCTGGTGAATGCACAGGATATGCTTATAATCCAAGAGAAATGAACAATAAGAAGTAAATCCATCTTAAGACAAATGATTCCGACAGTAAGAAATCATCACCAAAGCATTATCTGAGAAATGACGTCTAATGAATCAGTTTGATCTGACAATCGGATCCTTTACCATCAAGCCTGATTTTAAAAAACAAACAAATCAATAAAAGATAACAAAATAAAAGTGAACAATATCTATCATAAAAATATCTTTTCAGCTTGTAGAAATGACTCATTTTAAAGAGTGAACTCTAAAAGGGTAGAGTAGCAGTTTAAACATGAAGATGATAAACTGTCTGAAATCCTAAAAAGTATCTAAAAACTGTACACAAGTTCATATTATATAGAAAATTGTGAATTAATGATCGGTATCCATAAACTCATCAGACTACGGTCTGGTTAACAATATCTTGGCGTACAAAGGTTTTTAATCAGTTATGCTTTCAGAACCACATAGATTGTCAGTTATCCCATTTCTACTTAGAATGAGATCCTAGTAACAGAGAGTCGGGTATTTTTTTTGGCTGTATGGTACATAGAGTAATTAAATGTGGCCCCTCCCCCACTTTTTACTGCACACTGTGTCAGCAGACTGAAAGTGGGCTTCTACCGCTTTCTTCAACCTTCATCCAAAGGAATTTTCAGTAGATTGGAGAAATTTCTGTGAAAAACTTAAAGTAACTAAAGAAGTCCAAGCTATCAATACTGTTATAGCAACACTGAATTACCAGTAAAAGCACCTGTTGGCAATGTAAACAGCTAACTGCAGACTAGCTACCTAAGCAGATACGGTAGACTGGCTAATTAACAGCTAGTTTCAGCTTGGTCTACTTGTGTTACTCTGCAGATAAACAAATGGATGCTTAAGCATTCCCACTTGACTAGAAAAAGCTGTTTCGCAGAAACAGCAAAGTGGGAATGCTTTTTTTGCTGAATGAAAAGAGAAAAATTAGCTAAAGCAACTGTGAGAAGGAAAAGAAGCACAAATTAGCCGAGGAACATATGAAAATGTGAAAGGAAGTCATCAGAAACTTCAAAGTGCAGAAAACAATTGAATCATCTGAAGATTTTGTAGGGTAGAATCATCTGGCAGTAAAATGGCAGAAACAGACTCATCTTAAAAGCTGCACATCCAAACCATACATGATATCAAAAAATGTGTTCAACGTGGACACTAGAAGGGTCTAAATGTAATGTCTCCCAAGTTTCTAGAAAAAGTTCTCAAGAAATTTTGAAGGGGGGCCACCTACTTTCCAGAAACATGTCAGGCGTGTTATGAATTAGCAGCAAACAGAAAAGCTTAATTCCTGTCCAGAAAGAGAGCAGAATGAAACCAAAGTTCTCAGCATAGGCTGAAAAGTATTAAATTAGCTGAATCAGAAAATAAATTACAAAGAAAAACTTGAATCTTATTTGGTTGAAGAAAAAATGAGTAGCTCAAGGATGGGAAGTAAAATGTTGAGGAAGATGGTATTGAATAAGTATCAAAATTTAGAAATTGTGGAAATGTCAAGACTTGGCAGAACAATTTGAAATGATTTAAAATGTGTTGGTTGATCAGCATAAAGAAAACAGTGTCATCCTTAGAGGATTGAAAATCTACAAACCTATGTGCAAGACTGACCATGACAAGCAGAGGAAGGACAAAGAGAGAAGCTTATAGAAAGAGAGCTAATTTCACTTAAGGAGCTGAATTTGTCAAAAACTTTAACCTGCATGTTACGAGCCGCTGTGTTGATGACAGCACCGTTGGCAGGCTAAGGCTGCTTGTTACGAGGTTAGCAGATGCTTTATTACAGTGTAAATCTTAGAACCTGATTAAGAAATATGCACTGAGGTGTGTGGTCAACAGGCCTTGGTAGTGTAATTTGAAGAAATTGGTTGAGTTTGGGTCATAGCTACGAGCCATATGGCACAATGAATGAGTGTGTGTAAGGAAGAGGCTTTTATTTTGTAGAGTCCCTTTAGTCTTATTTTGAAAGTCTAACATGGATGTGTGTCAAGGGAAGGGTCATGCCCAGCAGTTATATAGAATCCATTTCTAAATATGAAATCACTCGTTTTCCATGTTATTGGGTGAATAGATGCTGTATTAGAGCGTAAATGGGAGACTTTTATTGTGAAATTCGCCCCGGGGTATGTTTTGAAAAGGTCCCTAAAGTCTAATAGAAACAAGCTGGTAGAGTTTGGGTTATAATGCTGAGCCATTTGCATCAATTAATACGTGAGCATAATATAGAGGCTTTTATTGTGTAGGGTCACTGGAGTCTTATTTTGAAAGTCTAGCAGGGTTGTGTGTTGAGAAAAGGGTCAGACCCAGAAGTGTTGTAAAATTTTTTTCAATTGAGTGAAAAATGAGGGAGTGAGAAGAATTTGTTCGGAAAAACCAGAACAGCTCAAAAGCTAGAGCACGCACTCTGACAGTTGAAGAATTCCGTCCATAGACTTCCATTATAAATCTGAAAATCTTAAAATTTTCTTTTAAAGTTTGAAGCTTCACTGAAACAAAACTGTGAAAGTTAGCAAAAAGTTGAGTTAAACATTAATAGCAGAAAGATACAGAAACATTTTAAAAGTTGTTGAAGTGGGCTGAAAACTGTTGAAGTAGTTTAACGACCAAAAACGTACGGAATAATAATAATAATAATAATAACTAGAAAAAGCTGTTTCGCAGAAACAGCAAAGTGGGAATGCTTTTTTGCTGAATGAA